TGACATTGATATATATAAGCATTGCTAATACCACTACAAATGTTACTGACCAACAATACGAAAAGAAAAAGATTCGAGAAAATTCTGTCTATAGCTAATAATTAAGAAACTAGAATAAATAAAAAAAAACTAAGATATAAATTATATAGGAGGGGAGAATGTCGGACCAAGAATCAGTAAAGAGTAAGGACATGATGAGAAAGATGAGGATAGACCCATACCTGTCAGCTACGATATTACGCAGCAAAGCTGATTTTGTATACATTGATAAAGGAGGTAGAACATATTAAGAAAGTCCTAAGCCCAACTCTTTAAGTACTTGGAAAGATGGAAGAATACATCGCGTTTATCGAAGATTGCATTTCCTCAGGGGTTGACTAGGTTTGTTAAGCCAATACAGGAAGTAAGAACTATTAAAAATTTTTATGAAACTAACATGGGAATATGTGAAATCAATAAAATAGAGGGACTGGTCAAACTATATATTGAACCCCATAGGCATATCCTATATTATCTACGATACGCCAGGTATGGAAATATTTCTTACACCCAACCCTATGCAGAGAATGGAGATGGTATTTAACCCAAAAGAGCAGTAACAGATAATAAATGTAGTACTAGATTTTATAAAATACTAACGGCCTCCCTTGAGCAATTTAAAAGAATAGTAGATATTGTGCAAATTACAAAACATGAAGGAATAGCGAGAAAATCTTTCGATGAGAAATTGATATCCCCTCAGTGTTATAAACTCTTATATCGCACTGATATATTCATACTCTCCTGCCAAACAAGTATGAACCTTATTATTCCAAAGAGGCGCGTTCATAGTGAAATATATATCAACATTCAAATTTTAATTATTATTATTGTAATTCTAAATTAAAATACATTGATTTTAATATACAATATCTATTATTTTAATTATTAATAGTTACGCTAGAAAGAAATAATATTATACCTTATTTTCCGTATCCACCATTGATTAAAATAAATTAGCTTAAATAAATAATGTAGGGTACAAACAACGATTTTCTCGGTTTTCTTAGAAAACTGGGTAAAGAAAAAATTAGTAATTAATAATATAAATTGTAAATTAAATTTGCCTATCAAAATCTCTTTACACCATTTAATTACAGTTCTATTAATACGCCCCTTTTTTTTAGATTAATATATAAGAAGTTATCATGTTAAAACCTTTAATTATTAAAAATAAGATGAATACATTTGATTAAATAAATAAGCTATTTGTAGAACTCTTATCCGTTTCTCATGTAATTCTTTGAATAATTATGCATTAGCAAAGAAGGAAATTAAATGAATGGTCTATTAAATCAATTTAGCTGTGCTGTTTCAAAGGCTAAGCATAAGAGATTAAATGAATCCATTAACTTTTTTATTAAAAAAAATTACCAAAATTTGCTCTTCCATTAAAAATGATAAAATAATAAAGGATTTCTTTTGATTTCATTAAACCCTCTAAGATTTTAATAAAAGTGTACCTAACTTTGATATAAATAAGTTAAATAAATGTGGTCAAAAGTATTCTATGGATTATATCAAAAAAAAAATCGTAAGGAGATTTATTATTCAGATAAAGTGCTTAAGAGCTAATTTTTATATTATATTCATAAGTTTCTCAAAATCTGAACATCCAAAAAGATAAAAATAAATGAAAATAATCATCCAATCATAAAAAAAAGAAACTATCATAAATATAATT